TGATTATGAACAAAACATTTGACTTTAACATTTCACTTTGAGAGGATAATACATACCAATTTTTTGGACTAGTGTATGTCAACACGCAGGATTTTTGTATGTTAACAGCAGGATTACAGAATACCGTGCCTTTTCAAGCAAAATATGTAGGTAAATATAATAACATGCATCAGATTTGAAAGGAAATTTTAAAAGTATAGATTTTTGTAAAATGTAGCATTTTGGAAGCATTTTATTTTGCGGCAAGTACATAAAATTATTTAAATCATTACCTGAAAGACAATTGATAAGATATTGTAAAGGATTTGGTAAGTATAATGGTGTTTGGTAGAAAAATAATTAATTATTTTAAGAAAGCTCAAATCTTGTTTTGCCTTCAGAAATAGGTAAATACTTTTGCAAATGACAACAACTCAGTGTTGTTTGGAAAGTGAATTAACTGCAACAGAAACATTGTTTCAAAAAGTGTTGCCATTTCATATTATTTCTGACTGAATATCCAGATATTGCCACAGGTCAAGGGAAAATCTTCCAGTTGTGAGAAATGTGGCCAATGAATAGGCTGCATGTCTGTGTTTGATATTTACATGTGATGTCTCATCATAGACTTAAAATGACTTCTGCTTTCTTTATTTGATGCAGAAACAACAGTTATAAACTGGGTTTAGGTACCCTGTGTACCGTGAAGTGTATTAGTTGTTTCCTTGGAGGAATGTGAGAGATATCTTAAACTGATGTGAATTGAATATTTCAAAGGTAGCTCCCAGTTTTGTTCAGAACTCATTTTATAGGTGTGTTTGTAGAGCTTGGAAACATTTTGCACGGAAAAGACCTGGTTACTTTACTTATTTTTAGAGTGCTTTTAATTTTAGTTCGATATTTCACATAGTTATTTATTGTCTTTTCAACTTTATTGTCTATTCAACCTTGCCTTGAATAAGAAGAAAATATTTAAAACAACTTTAAAATGAGGACAGTTGACCAATAGTCCTAGTGTTTATACATAAAGGCAAACTTCAATGGAGAAAATAATTGGTATCTTTCAAATATTAAATACAAAGACCTTACAAAGACCTTACCGCTGTGCAGGGCAGTAGTGTATGATTTTTATAAAGACCAGTTTTAATATGGCATAAGTTGAATTGTGACTGGTCACCATTTTAAAACCCAATTTTTTCCTTTAAATTCTTTAAATTTTATTGGCTTTTGGTGTTTTTTCTGAGAGAGTAAATTTGTAAAAAAGAAGGCAAGTGGTTTCATGATGTATTTAGTTCAGGATTTTACTGAGTCACGTATTTAAAGTGCAGCTTTAAAATTAGCAGTTGTCTCTTGCTGTTTCTTAGGATATTCAACTGTATAATTTCAAGGCTATTATTTTAATGAAATCTTCTGCAGATATTTACAAATGCGTATTTAAGTGTTATCTTCAGTGTGATCATCATAATGTGACACTCAAGAAATTCTTCTATTGCTTGCATTTTGTATGGTCACCTTCCTTTAGCATTGAAATGAATACTGAGCGAAATATTAAGCTGCTATGTAGTTTCCTGTTTGGTTTTTCTTTGGATTTTAGTGGCACTGATTATGTTTTTACCTGCTGGGCCAGCGTCTTTCCACAGTTCTCTGTGTTAGTGCAGTTCCTCACCTAGGCCTTGTGAGCATTTAAATGGCATGATTTCTTCAGCACAGACACTTTGGAAATCTGCTAAATAACATTAGCTCCCTACTGTTTTGCCAGTAAATGGAAGGTGATGTTCAGGAGGGCCAAGCGCTTCCTGTAAAGTCTTCGTTTTTAACTCAAATCCAGCAAGAAGCAGTGGGCAATCACAAACTGAGCAAGAATAAGATCCAACATTGTGGACTGAAGTTTTCTCCTTGCTACATATTAGCAAGTAACCAACTTGAATTCTTGCCTGTCAGTCTGACAGTATCCATATGCACCTCAGTTTGTAGGAAGAGGATATCTGAGTGCTAAGAACTTACTTTCAATACAGAATTGTCCCAAGTGCTAACATGCACACTTTCACTGTGAAAGGATCTAGTATTTCTTTAATTTCTTAGGGCTGGGACATGTTTGACGTATACTTTATGTTATTCTTGTGGATTTCTAGTTAATTGTAGGAGAGTAGCTATATTCTAGTATATTCAGAAGTGATTTCCTACTTTTAGAGTTACTTTGCTCTGCAAGTCTTTCCTTCGCTCCTACCACGTTGGTAATTCTAGCATTAGACACTAGGTGGTAATCGTCTTCTGGTAAGGTCAGCATGCATTTCACTGTGTGAAATGCCTTTTTATAACTATGTTTGCACCACTGAAAGACTACAATGCATTTATTTCAGAATAATAATTTAAAAACACATCATATTTTTAAGTTTGTTTAGTTTGTATTGGGTTTAGTTGAATATAAAAACTTAGAAGTTAATGTGCCAATAGTTGTTTACCTAGCCATTATCTTAGCTGTCTTGGTTATTTCTCCTAGATAAAAGCTGAAACGTCATTGAAATTAACATGCAAAATTTCTTACTTTGTTTCACATATAGTCATTTTTTTCCCCTGTCTTTGTGGAGAATAGTTCATTAAAATACTTGTAGCTGTTGTTGCCATGATTCAAATTACAAATCAAGTCATTTTAATCTGAAATTCTTTGGATAGTCCCTAATTATTTATTATCTTTTGTAGACAGGCATTTTAAAAATGTTTTAAAATTAAGAGGTTAAGTATGTAAAATATATATTTACTTCCCTAATTTATCTTACTGAAGTAATATCACAGATATTGATGAGGATGTTGTTAAAATCAAGTATATATGGCATATATTTATATATTTCTTAATACAGAAAATGTGAAATCTTTTATATATTTGAGGAGAATGTTGGTTTCTCCTGGATTTTTCATTGACTATTTGCCTCCAGCTTCTGCTAAAAGATAACGTCCTCTCAGCTCTAGCACAGCTTTTTGCTTCATTATTTAGGGCTGCAAAGTAGCTGCAGGGATTGCTGCAGCCAAGCTGCAACTGAGCGAGAAGGGTTTCCTTCTCTACTGTTTACTGGAGCGTGAAGTCAGGTCCCTTGTTACCGACAATTTCGATGAGTCTGGGTGCAGCAGTGGTCCATGAGAAAGGATGGTGGAACCATCAGGATCGAGCGAGTAGATTCAAAGTCCAAGAGACAGTAAAGCGGAAGAAAGAACCATCAAGCTATATCCAAGAGAAGAGACTCGTTTTCCAAATTTGTATGTAAGGTGGAGTTCTTTGGTAGGCTGTTGTGCGCTGAAATGATCAAGTGTAAAGAAGAAGTGTGAGGGTATGGGGTAAAATCTAGTGTATATCATAGAATCATGGAACAGTTTGGGTTGGGAGCGACCTTATAGATCATCTAGTTCCAACCCCCCTGCCATGGGCAGGGACACCTTCCACTAGGCCAGGTTGCTCAAAGACGCATCCAACTTGGCCCTGAACATTTCCAGGGAGGGATATATACAACAGTTTAATATATGCAGTTAGGCAAATGTTTCCATTTGCATTGCAACATGTATTTTCTCGGGGGTGAGGCGCGCATTTGGTGAGTTTTTACTGCTTGATTAAATGAAGGAGGTTGAAAACCAGGGCTTTCATTTTGTTTTGAGGGATTCAGATACACAGATTTTGAAAGTATTAAAAACTATTCTGTGTTGTTACATTATGCAGAGCAATCACACAAGTTATCTGGAAGGGTATGTGGCAGGAGGTAGTGTCTGCTCCGCTAAGGTTATCTGATCAAGGACGTTGTTGAATGGGATGCTAAGGAAAAGGGCAGCAATAAGCAAAACAGACAGAGACACAGACCTCACAGAGAGGCAATAACAACGAGAATGAAAAAAATAATGACAAGAAACGGGCCTGATCAGTCACACTAATTGAGGGGTTATCAAGAAACTTCAGGCATCATTTCAAAGAGGCCAACCTGGACTCGGCAAGTGACAAGGATGCAGACCTGGGGGTCCTGGTATTGTGTGTACGGGGAGGGCCGGTATTGGTGAATACCCTGCATCAAGAAGAGTGTGGCCAGTAGGACGAGGGAGGTTCTCCTTCCCCTCTACACTGCCCTGGTGAGGCCTCATCTGGAGTACTGTGTCCAGTTCTGGGCTCCCCAGTTCAAGAAAGATGAAGAGCTACTGGAGAGAGTCCAGCGGAGGGCTACAAGGATGGTGAGGGGACTGGAACATCTCCCCTACGAGGAGAGGCTGAGGGAGCTGGGCTTGTTCAGCCTGAAGAAGAGAAGGCTGCGAGGGGACCTTATAAATGCCTACAAATATCTGAAGGGTGGGTGTCAGGAGGATGGGGCCAAGCTCTTGGGGTCTGCTTTTCGGGAGATATTCAAGACCCGCCTGGACAAGGTCCTGTGCACCCTGCTGTAGGTGACCCTGCTTCAGCAGGGGGGTTGGACTAGATGACCCACAGAGGTCCCTTCCAACCCCTACTATTCTGTGATTCTGTGGTGAAACTATGCAAACTGATCAGGCAATGTGAAGGGGCAGGGGATTGGGGGAACAAAGGAGGAATAGGCAGAAAGGGGTATAAAAGGGCTCAGTTGTGGGCGAAATGGAGCTGGTCAACATGTTTGACTGAACCCTGTGCCTGATCACTGCAATCTGTCCTATCTCCTTACTAAATCAGTTACATGTAGTGACAGCTGAAGTTTTATTAGATTTTTGCTGAAACATAATATTTACATACAATATGAAGGCCATATTTGTGTATGGTATGAACCTTAATGAAAAGAAAGTATAGATTAAATCAGAGGAGAGAGAGATAAGAAGTGAACACCCAAACTCTGCAGCCACTTCAGCCAATATCTGGCAAAGGAACAGGTTTTGACTATCCCAGTTAGATCTACCTGCTAATGTGCATCAGACTCCTCATGCAATTGCTCCCATCCCTGACTCTGCACCTAAATGTTTATCTTCTTCATTTACCACTCTGTTCTGTGTTTTTTTCTGCTCTGTGAACTCAGGTGATAGACATGGCTGTTAGCCTGGTCTGGGCTTCGTATAGGGTATCAAAGAATGAGGAGGAGAAGAAGTCATGGTCAGTGTTGCTCAAAGAAGGAAGGCTCCCTCCCATCTGTCTGTCACAGGTGATAGATAGGAACAACACCGTTTTTCTGCTGCCCTGAAACTCAAGCTTGGGAAACAAACCCCCAGAAATCCACAAAACAAACCCCAAATTCTTGAGAGGCTTGTAGCTAAATGCAGTTGTAAAAATATTTTAGAGACGCCAGTGCTTTTTATAAATGTTTAGTGTAAGTTACTAGATAATATATTACATATACCTTCAAGCTATTTTGAGAACTTCAGCACTGAGTCAGCATTCATCAGCAATGAGAAATAAAGCTGTTAAGTGATTTACCAAATAAGTCAGAGAGCAACAGAAATGTTTTCTCTTTAGATTTTCATGTACTCTATCACATCTATGTCTGTAAATTCTCACTCTAATAGTATTTTAGCTACGTAGTGCAAGCTGTTAATGCTAGTTATCAGATGAATAGGTGTGACTGAAGTACACTTCCTACCTTTCCTCCTGGATTTTTTTTGCTGTAACACAAGACAGTAATAGAAATTAAATAGTCAAACATAAGTAGGCAGAGGCTGTGGCAGTTACATGTACACATGATGTTTCTCTGGCCCTAGTTGCTAGGTACTTCTGATATTCACCAATTTCAGATGTTTTAAAATGGTCACCTGCAAGAAATTAAATACCTGTCAAAGTTTTCAGTTTAACCTCCTTATATGCTGAACACTGACTGTTGTAAGTCATAGGCCAGATTCCATTCTTGTGCATATGTGCAGTCAAAAGACAACTGGGATTATAAGGAGTTTCACTTGAATTTTGCTGTAACTCCTTGGTACTAGCCTTCCTCTAACTATATTTAGCATTCAATAAAAAAAGTCAGCTATGCTGGAATTCTGACTTAAATACACAAGTGGACGTGAGGAACTGCTGGCTTCTGAGATGTAATTATGGCTTTGCTTAACATTAAAATAGAGTGCTGTTAAATGGATAGTCAAGAACTATAATCTGTAGAGTTAGTAGTGTTTCATATAGAAGAGCAGAGCTTTTATTCTATTTTTCTAATCTTGATTTATTAGTGGAATATTTTTGTGAAATTGTTTTTATTTCTGTTATTATTACTTTTATCTTGTTTTAAGTGAGCTGTAAATTGCTTATTTTCCTGTATTACTATTTATAGATTTTTTAAAGTGCAGTCTAAAATACGAAAAAATTAACTGTGATGCAACAGAATATACTGAAGGCAATTAACATCATTAATTACATTGCAATTAATGCCACTTGCTTAGTTTACAGGGCTGATTCTAGTTTCATTGTCTTATGCCTGGCTTAAGCTGCCTGCTCTTACAGCTCTTAAGCGATAGGGCTAACTAATGCTGAAACCAACAAAATGTTCATTCGTAATTAGGTAGCTCCTAGCTGATAGGAGTGTAGGCACCAACCACCCCAAGAACAGAGTTCCTTGATGCATTATCAAATAGGACACTAACTGTCATAGAACAGCAAAGCACAAATAATGAATCAGTGCTTTGCAGTACTAGAAATACAGTGCTTAAGGGAGAGACGACATTATTCTCTAGTGGGTACTTGGGTAATGCTCTGTGCATTGATGCTGCACAGTCATTAAAATGAAGCAAATATGTTGAAGTTTGAATACTTCACAATTTCGACTTACATATACATGTATTTTGAAATTAGTCAAAAGTAGAGTTGTTTCTATGCAGATATGAAATATTTTGAAGTCTATGTGATCTTATACTTTTTAAAAAAGCTTCTTTTTCTCATTAATGAAAACAACTAGGCTAAAGCTAGTCTATTTAAATTACTCTTGGTTTTGATCTATCATAGACTTTTCTGGTTGAGAATTCTCTCAGTTTGTCTTCTTCCCACTTCTAAGAATTACTGTCTGTCCCACAGCCTTCTACACACCGCTGGTGCCTCATGGTCCTCGACTAATGATTATCCGCAGGCTCCCACTTGGCAAATAGGGACTGAAGCACTGGGGTTTTTTCTGCAAAGTTTTAAACTTCTTTAGGAGGTGGCTTAAAATTAGCAGTAATGTATTAGCCCACAGGTTTTTAAAACTCAGAGAGAACTGGAGCTTAGTTTAGTAAAAATTAATTTAATTTACTAATTAATTTAAATTTTAATTTACTAATTTAATTTAACTAAGTACTAGTTTCTGTAATGGTTGCTGATGGGAAGTAACAATTGTGTGAGTCAGCCTTTTGTAGGTGAACAGAGGACCAGAGGGATATGAGAGGTTAAAAGTGAGCTTGGATAGTTGGAAGTGGCTTAAACTATATGTTTCTTGACTGCTGAGTTCTAACAGTCTCAGGGAGAAGCCTTAGGACTGCGTTCTCCTTCTAATGCAGCCCAGTCTCGCACTAGCCCTCTTCACAGCAAGGGCGCATTGCTAGCTCATGTTCAACTTGGTGTCCACCAGGACCCCCAGGTCATGTTCTGCAATGCTGCTTTCCAGCCAGCTGGCCACCAGCATGTACTCGTGCATGTAGTTGTTCTTCCTCAGCTGCAGGTCTTTGTACTTTCTCCTTGTTGAACTGTGTAAGGTTCCTATTAGCCCATTTCTCCAGCCTGTCAAGGTCCCTCATTCACTCTGTTGTACTTTAAGACTTGTTAAAATCTGTCTGAAACCAGAACTTCCTCAGTCATCACTGTCAGCTTCTTCAAAGGCCTGGAAATACAGACAGATGTTGAAACACAACAACAAGGTCAGCTGGCTGTGCTGGACTAAGCAGCTGATTTTTACAAATACCTTGTCTAGGACTGTGATAATAAAAGGAAGCAGTAGGGTGAAGTGAAGGAGGGAGAAGAATGGCAGAGAACTGGTATGGGTGCAGGGGAGTAGGCGAGCATAACTCTGGACCAACTGACATTCTCCTGGTTGGGGGCTTGGTGAGAGCTGGGTGGATTGGGGTCAGGAGAAACATCAACCCACTGTTGGAAAAACAGAAGTCTTTAGGTTCTCCTTGCTCATTCTTGTAACAAGTATACAGAGTAGGGGAGGTATCCTTGGGAAGCAGACAGAGCCTTCCTCTGGGGTGACGGGAGTGTACATTCTCTTGATTTATATTTTTACTCAAGATGGAAGTTTTAAAAATTTCTACATATATTTTTGTATATCTTGTATGCAAGTTCCAGAAGCTTGATAAATCATCTTAAGATGATAATGTTTTTGTCTGTGTAAATCAAGTATAATTATTATAATCAGATACATCACATTATGAAACAGAAAACAGAATTAGGAGATCATCCTAATTTGTTTATTACTTTTCTACTGAACTGCTCTTAAACAGCAGCTATGGGAAATGTTTATCATTTGTACTTAATTATCCTTCAGACGATTCGTTGACTATAAATTATGTAAGTGTATTCCCAGATGTACTGGAAAACCAAAAATTACCTCATCCAGCAATGACAGGTTGTAACTGTAAGTTTAACAGACATATAGGCTAATTTTCCAAAGCATTTCCTCCTTTTTTTGAGGAGTCGGTCTGCTAGAGATTCATTCTATTAAGAAATTGGCTGTTGATAAGAATCTCCATTAAATGTCACATGTTTTTCTACAGCCTCCTGCAGATGAGTAAAATACATAATTCTGTTCTCTCCTGAAGTGCATCTTTAACTAGGCTTAAACAAAAAATAATGTACGTGCCAGCCCCATATCAGAGGTTTAGGGAGGAATAATCTTGTATTTATTGCAAAGTATGTGGAGAATTCTGTGGAGGTAGTGTGCATTTGCTCTAATTCAATCTCAGTTTTCTGGTATGCCTGAATTTCTTGCTCAGAATGAGGGATGGGATATCTTTGTGGAGCCTGAAATAGTTAAAATAATTCTTATACTCTTAAAACTTCATTTACTTCAGTGGGCAAATACGTTTACTGGTCATGCTCTGGAATTTTGGAGGGTCCATCATTACCACTGGATGTTGAGTTGCCAGGAGAGACAGTGCAGAAGGTTGTAACTTAGATTGAGAGAGCAGCCCAAGCAAACCAAGCTGCATAATGAAACAGGAATAGAAATGAGGCAAAGATGGTAACATTGGGAAAAGGGAAGATAAGAACAGAAATGTTGGAGGAGAGCTGGAGTTGTGTAGGTCTTTTTAATGTTAAATTGTACTCACCAAAGGATATTAACTGCGAAACTTTTATTTCCGTAGGAGATTTATGGAGACTCATCTAAGAACAATTCCAAGTGACGCTTTTTCCAATCTCCCCAACATCTCTAGGATGTAAGTTCTGTTTCTGATATTATTTTTTTAGCTCTTTTGGTAAAAATAATTTTCCTTCTCCAACATTCTGTCTTTGTGTATAAAATCTTCTGAAATGAAAATATTCTTGCACCTTTATTACCTCACCACTTACATTTTAGGACTGCAGGTAATCCAGGTAATCATCCCATTGTTTATAATCTGAACCAGCTGTAGGAAGGCATACTAGGCATTTTTTGATAAAAGCACACCTTTCTTGAAGTAGGTGTGACAAAGAAGGCTATAAAACTTTTCTTTTTTTTTTCTTTTCCGGTTTGCAAAATATCACAAATGGTTTTATTCACAACAAATGAACATATTCTATCGCTCGTCCTGGCTAAAAATTTGTTTCCAGCTCCCAGCACGATATGTAGCTGATTTCACTGGAGACCCTGTAGCATTTCTAGACTGGGGATAGACTTTCACAAAAACATTAGTATTTGTGTGATGTGAGAAGGACTTCCATTGTGTCACTTCCTTTGTGTTTAAACGCATGCATAGATACAATCCATAAATGCACAACCAGCAGCCTCTACCTATTTGCCTCCCTTCAACATTTGTCCTGTTGAAAGTGGCTACCATTGCACTGTACTGTTCATTGATGGCAGCAGTCTTGAGACAAAGTTGTCCCACCTTTGTTTCTTCTTGGTGGCTCGCCCACAATCTGTCATCCTGTGCATGGCTGTTTGATGCAGAGAACTTCTCTGCCGTCTCCCCATTCACTCCCTAGAATAAGAGAGTCATGTAATTTAGAAGGGTCCTCAGGAGCCCTCTAGCCCACCACCTGCTCAAAGTTGGGCCAACTATAATGTCCAACCAGATTGTTCAGGGCTTTATCCGGTCTAGTGCTCAGCTTTATCTGTGTCCATTGTTAACTAAGTAAACCATCTCATTCCGCGGGAGGCCCACATTTTTCTCGTTCAGCCTTTTATTTCTAATGTTGCAATAGGAGCTCTTCTGGTTGTCCTTGACGTTCATTGCAAGCCTGAACTCCAGCTGAGCTTTGGCAGAATGACTGAGATGGACTGCTATTTGAGAATTCATGAAACAGGACTTGGGGGGGGGAGGGGAATGGAGGTCTGCCTAATTACATTTTATGGTTTCAGCCAGGTATATTGAACTAGTGACTTTCTAAAATCCGTGTAAGTAATTGTTCCTGAATAGCTGCAGCCTCATTTACCATCTCAGTTTAATCAGATAGATGGTTTATTGCTTTGGGGTTTTTCGAGGGGAGGGATGTCCCTCATATGATGTGTAGTATCCTATCTGATGAAGTTTGTTCAAAACAGAGTTTTATTAAATGTAGAAGTATGTCAAATCTTCTCTGGCTTTCAGTGACACATAATCCATTGCTTAGATGCTTTTCAGATTTTAAAGTTCTCAAATCATAGTATTTATGAACTTGTAAGAGCACAGGTGTTCATCTGAAGAATGTGGTGAGCTCTTCTCTAAAGAAGCCTACCCTCCAGAAACTTCCAGTGGCCAAAAGGCTGTTACACCAAATCTTCCTAATCTTCATGGCACCGGAGGTGAGGAAGGGGTATTCACACTGACTGTCTCTAGATCACTTCGTGACCTCGCAGGCTAAGGACACTTAGCCACCTAGTCTTTCTCCATGGGCGTTAGGAGTCAATGACAATCTCTTGCCTATACTGTTTGATAGTAAGATGGTAACAGAAAACCACTCTGTTTCATGTTTTTATCACGTCAGTTGAAGAGGAAAGTCAAAATGACAAAGACCTTATGGCCTTGAATGAGATGAATAGGTGATTTTTACACATCTTAAGATAATATGTTGGCATCCATGTCGGTTTAATTGGTTCATGATTTCAAGGATGCCCAGGAAAATAAATGTCTGTATCTTCCCCAAATTATTCTTTAGAGAGAGTATCTGAATATGGAGTTTTACCTTCTCCCTACTCCACATTTATGTGTGGGAAAATAGCGTAGATACGGTTGAGTATAGCAGCAAGCTACCTAAAATCATGACCTGATGTGGTAGCGTTTCACTCTGTCTCCTGCTGTACAATACCTTCTTGGTTACCACATCTCTTTTTTGTTCGTTAATTTTAAAAAGCCTCCAAAGAATAGATCGCAGCTTAAATTAGAATAATGTCAATGCCCTTCTGGATTGTTCTTAGAGTGTTACTACTACTACAGATCATGAACTCCCACCTTCTTGATATAATCTTTGGGCTAAGGAACCAGTACCTGTATTTTAACTACAGCTCACGTGTGTATGTCTTGGCCTCTAATGTACCCAATTCCCATTTGCCTCTCCCAGCCCATAATTTCCATCAGCAACGAAAATTACCAGATCATTCCTTGCTTTTTTAAACTCATCTAGAAAATGTTCTGAAGGTTCAATGATCAATTGACTGTGTTTACCGTTCCAAATATAACACTTCATTTTGCTGTATGGTTTCTACTATATAATTTCCACAAAAGAACTTTTTTCCTCTGTACTGAACAGAAAATTGAGTTGTCCTCTTTATGAACCTTGTTTAAACAAAAATTTGAGGGCTACCATTTCTCTTAAATGAATGCATATCTATATACTCTCGTTAGCTAAAAGCAGAGATTGTTTCCCTGTACTTCTTTGCCACAGGAATGAAACGAAAAGCATTTCAATGAAATGCCCAAATACAGAGCTAATTCCTGTCAGAAATAGATCAGCACACTGAAGAAAAAAAAAAAAAAGGTTTTATAAGGTATTTAGATGCAAGAGAAATTTGTGTTACATCCTGAAAGCTGTAAATACATTAAATCTTGGTAGAAGGGCTTTGCCTTGTATTTCCTACTGACTTAGGACAGGTTGAACACACAGTATTCTTAAGGTCAGGGATAAAGAACATTTTTCCTGGGCTCAGGACGGTGTTTTGGGGACATATTAATGAGTACCTCACAGACACTTGACCAATAGCTCCCTGAGAACTTTACTCCACAGCTTCTCCACGCAAAGTAGCATCCCCGCATCACACAGTGCTCACTGCCAGCAGCCCCATGCAGAGCACAACATTTCCCCCGTGCAGTGTTTTCCCCTGTGCAGCACAGTGCCCTTTCACGCCCTGCACACGCTGCTGTCCCACAGCCAGTGTCACCACAGGGCTCCCCACGCCGAGCACGTGCCTGCACCGCTGGGCTCCCACACCTCCCCTGCTCCCCAGTACCAGCCCATGCAGCACAGCCCCAGCTCGGGGTGGCGATTGCCTTAGCCGCTCCTGGTTGTCCTCTTGTGAAGCACCCTACATGTCACCAACCCGCCCTCCGTCAGCAGCAGAGGAGAACAGGGGCAGCTGGTGGGCTGCAACACAGGGGATGCCGAGGCTGGAAAAAAGCCAAGAAAGGTGGAGAGGGTGAGAAGGGAGAAGATAAGAGCAAGGAGCCTTGCGGCTACTGCCATGTGCTGATACACCTTAAATCCTGTGTTCTCAAGCTCTTTCTGAATGGGCAATGATGACTAAAGAGTTACCTGCAAACAGACCATCTCTGAAGCTGTGCATCTTGTGTTTAAGCTATGACTGTGCTGGTGATGGGTGTTGAAGGCATTTTGAAATCCTGCAAATTAAACACAGCTGGCAGAGAGAGATGCTGAATTGTGGCACGCCTTCAAAATGCGAATTAAACACGCTTTCCCTCTTCTTCTGATGCAAAGCCTTCCAGTTCTGATAGCTACGATTTTTATTTCTTACATTTAACATATTGTATTATCTGTTCATCAGCCAGAGCCCAGAGGTTTTTGGAGGCACTCTGAACACTTGGAATCAAATGTTTATGCACCATTAATATGTGTTTCTGTTTTACATTCTTGTCTCAGAGGAGATTTTGAATGTGTTTGTGTGGTTTTTGGGTGTTCATCTAGATGACACTAAAGCAAATAAAACTACTCATTTCCCTGTCATCAGTGAGGATGTGGTTTAATTAATATACACAAATACATCTGCTTATGAAGCAGAAGAGTGAAGGTCAACGTGCAAAGAAAATAAGCCGTTTCCTTCACACTTTTGTCCCACAGCTGCAAGATATAAAACTGTAACTCAAACAGCACCAAGGCAGGCAGTATAGTAAAAATGTGACATGCGGCACGGTGGGAAGGGACGTGGTGGCTGTAGGGGCGAGGGAGGGGAGGAGGAATCCCTACTGCAACTCTTATGCCTCTTCTCATATGTGAGAGAAGCACTTGCCTGCCTGATGTAAAGAGACCAGAGCACACAAAAAGTACTCTCTAATTCCTAGCCCCAGCATGAGGATGCAATGTTTGTTCATTATCTGGTTTTATTTTCATTTTCTGTCAAGCTGATTTATATATAGCTGTTTGCTACATAGAACAGCCTTTTTATTTTTATATGTCATTGATACAACCTATCTTGGTATGTTAAAATGTAGGCTCTGTTAAAAATGAATAATTAATTTTCTTTTAAGACTGAAACTCCAATTTCATGGGCAATAGACATTTATAGCTTACAGGAAAACAAAATCAAAGTGTCTCACATAAACATCTAACTCTGCAATACTCAATCACAGAAGTACAGCATGGAAACACTTTCTTTATTGTATTCCTCTTTTATTATCTTTCTTCCTTTCAGAAGAGTCAAATAGCTTTGTAAAAGCAATACTACTGTGGAAAGAGAATCTGTTAGTCATACAATTGCTACTAGTTACTTTTCTGGTATCTTTTCAAACACATACATTTGAATGCATCTTCACAGTGACCAATAAAAAGTAAATGTGATGTTAGAAGAGTTAAAATTAGTTCAGGTAATATGCTTTTAGCTCCGGTCTGGAGAGAACATAAATGCCCATGAAACAGTTAGTGGTATTAGTCAGCTGCTGGTTGTTAGAGCATGCACTGGTCGCAAAATATTGTTTCTAATTTTTAAAAACATTTAAAATATTTTTTAATATCCATTGAAAGAAATATTTTTCTTCTTTAAAATTTCCACAAAAAATCAAAATCTGATCCATAATTGATTGTGTTAAAAAGCCCTCCTGGGTTAAGTGATCATATTTTAATTTGCTGTTTACTATTATTACTCTTAATACTGTCATTGGAAAAAATGGAAAGAAACTTAAGAATCTTTTCTGTTTTGTTTAAGGAACACAACCCAGTTAGAATTGATGTAAAATACCAGTTGGATATGTTTTAGGTTAAGTATGATTCTAGGTCCTTGAAAGTCTACTGATTAAAAAATAGGAAAGGCATATAGTACACTCTCTTTTCACACTGATGTCTAAGACTCTAGTAGTCAATTTAATTTTGTGCGTTTAAAATAATGATCAAGTTGCTCAGGGTATGTGTAACCATGCAAAATATTAAAAACTGTTTAACTTCGATCAAGACTATCAAAAGATAGTACTTAAATATTTTAATAATAATAATAAATACAAAGAATATAAAAGGAATTACAATTATTTTGTAAGATACATAGATAAGAAATATGATATAAAATATTATTAGAATAGTAAATAAAATACAGGAATAAATTTTTAAATGCTATTCCAGCATTAGTAAATTTTAAAACTAAGAGATATTTTGAAAGACAGAATCAGGTAATTTAAATAGTAATGTCAGTTACTCTGAAAATCTGCACTAGTTAGTTGTGTTGCAACTTTATTCACACTTGAAAGCCTTTAACAGCAGTTCCAGTATTATCATCCTCCTAATGATGGTGGAGACTCTGTAGAGCAATTTTCTCATCACATTCAGTAGATCACTAGCAGTACAAATCCTACACAGTCTGAACTGTGTGCAAATAAGTATTTATTAAGCTTGCTGTCTGGTTTTGCTTCTGAGCCACAGCACTCCTTACACCCTTTACGACATTCACCATATGGCTAGAGTTTCTCTCTAAATTCATGCCAGAGCACATTTTTTTCCTCAGCAATATCAAAACACCAGTCGCCCCGATGATCTGTTTCTCTCTAGAGAAATTGCGACAGTTGTTGCAGTGATGGCCCAAGGAACATCTTTGCTTCTTTCCTTCTTTTTTTATTCTTCAATATAGAGAAATATGTCAATTTACCTGGGGGCTAGATCCCCTTAGAGAACTCCAGGGTGATCTTGTGGGGAAAAGGGAAGAAATATGATTCTGAAATATGAAATATGGATGTTTGCTTCTGCTGCTTAATAGCACTGTTGTGGGTTTTTTATTTAACTGTGTTCTCCAGTATGGTGTGCATGTAAGGCATCAGTCAAAATCAAAATCCTGTTAAAAGTTCCTCCCTCAGACACTGTCCATATGTCTGACAGTGTCATGGCAGTTGGATGAGAAAAAGAATGAGAGGAAAAAATAAAGTGCCATGATAGGCACTAGCCATGGCTTGCCAAGGTCTGAGACTTGTTTCTTTTTCTGCTTGTTGGTGTTTAGCTACATCTCCATAGACGAAACACTTCAGAGTTTGGAGGCCCGTTCCTTCGACAGTTTAAGCAAAGTCACTCATATGTAAGTACTGTAATTAAATAAATGAATACAGTGACAAAATAAATTTGGGGATGTGTGGCAATAACATACATGTTGATATTTGAGTTGTCATTCTTGTCTCCTTTGTAGCTACACATTTCTTTTCTCATTCCCTCTCTCCGTAATGTGGAGTCAGTCTCTTTTTTGACTTGTGCTTTCTCTCCCTACATCTTTGCGGTTTCCTTGCCCTTCTGTATCCTCCCACGGAAGTCTAAGAAGGTGTAGTGAAAAATATGTAGGACTAAATCATGAGTTTGATTGGAAGGTTGAAATAAGCTGGCGAATATGAATTACTTCTGTCAAATTACTGAAGGTAAGTATAGAACAGTAATATAAGCACCAGAAATGAATCAGAAGGGCCAAAGCACAGAGAAAATTTGCATTAGCTGGAGACATGAAGAATCGTAAGTTATCATTCTGGAAGTGCACTAGTAAAATGAAAAGTGTTTATCTGGTTATTAAGTGGAATGGGAATGTTATGGACAAAAGCTTCTGGGAGGTGTTTTCATACCTTTTTGTTCTGGCCAGTCCTCACCAAATGATGCATTAGGGCAGATACAAAAGTGGCAGAAAACCTGCCTAAGAGGATAAGGCACTGAATAGAGCTTCGTAGGATCAGTCCTGCATCTGGTACTCATCCATGTTTCCATTAGTGATCCAAGTGAGGGAACAGAAGGTGTGCCAGTGTCATCAAGCTCAGATGAGCTGCAGCTTGAAGTATTTCCAGAGAAGATTTGTGTTTGCAGAGGTTCCACGAGAGAGCACTGTCAGTCATCACAGATCCAGAAACCATTGTCAGAGAGGAAAGACTTTTGTGTCCAGAAAGAAAACACGCCAGAGGTAGATGTGTCTTTTAAGGTTGTTGCAAGGGGTGAAAGCTGCAGCCCGTTTTCCACACCGATAATTGACAAAGCAAAAGTAATAATAACCTTAAATTAGATTAGGCAAGATTCATGTTCGACTTCAGGAAATGTTTTCATATGGCTGGCATAACTAAACACTAGAATTGTTTTCCTGGGGAGCTTGTCGCTCTCCCTGGAGGAATTTAAGGCTTTGTAATCAGAAACTTCATAGGTCTATTTAATCTTCACTCAGAGAAAGAGATTGATGAAAAAAAAAGAAAAGATATGATCTCTTAACACTATTCTATTTTCTATATTTTTTTTCCTTTTACTTTATGCAGTGTGAAACAGAAAGGTTAATAAAAATAAAGGAAATAATATCATTACTATTGCTGTAGATAGAGAGCAATTGATGCTGGAAAGTGGAAGTGCCTCTGCTAAAAGTACCGGGCACGCAGAGCTAGAAGTAGAGTCCAGGATCCTGAGACGTAGCTGAGGCCAAGAACACGCTCCTGTAATCTTCCTGAAAGAGTTTTACAGACAGGCTTTGGTGTGATAACAGTACTTGTCTTTAGTTATAATGCCATTCCCTCTTCTGTAGGTGGTTTTTCCAGGCCTGTCATCTTCATGTTCGCTTTTCCTGTTTCACAGTTGTTCTGTCTTTAGGATTTCTTGTTTAACACAAATGACCATTTAAGAAAACATTTACTGGCGGCGCATTTTATAAACAATAAATAAAGCATCTGGCACTATGCACTACAAATTCCTCACGTGGTACTTATTTTGTCGTTCACCTTATTAGAAGTTAAAGATCAAATGCTCTTGGGCCATCGCATTTCATTGCAAGATTCTTCCGTACAATATACAGTGTAGTATCTTGCTTGTTTTAAATGATGTGGATACAAAGGCTTCTTGAGGACAGCTTGAGGAAAAAAGCTAGCTGGCTAGATAGCTGTTTTCTATTGTTTCTGTATGAGATTCAGTGTGGAGAATGGACTAGAAAAATCTCCCTCAGGATCTTAATTCGTAACATAAAACTGATGTCCTTCAAAGGGTAATGTAATGTAAGCTTTTGGTTATAAAGAACTCTTCCACAAAATGCACACTTTTAAATGTGTGACTAGCTTGAAGGAGTGGTGGACGGAGCTCTGGTGTTGCCAGTGCCTCCCGAGGCACTCATTCTTGCGATGTGCTCTGGAGCACTGCCTGATTTGCATTACTTTCTACTACCTAAAGGGTTGGCAAGAAACGTGAGTAGAAGCCTTTTCTCTTGTCCTCTTCCAGTCTCTAACCACCCCCAAAGCACGTTTACATTCCTGCCTGGGAGGCCCGCCAGTGCGCCCTGCCATAAGCGCACCTCTGTTGCGGCTCCCCTGGGGTCAGGCCAGAGCACACCAGCGAGGTCCGAAATTGCCTGTCGTCTCCCGGTCGTGGGTGCCCCCCCGGTGCCCCCTGCCATAAGCGCACCTCTGTTGCGGCTCCCCTGGGGTCAGGCCAGAGCACACCAGCGAGGTCCGAAATTGCCACACTCTCACACCCATGCCAGAGCCCAGGCCTGGATGTGCTGTCCATGGCCAGGAAGCTGCAGGCCTGGGCAGGAGTCAGAACAGCTCACGGGGGCACTTATGCTCCTGTCGCCTATGGCACAGGCTGCGAGGAGGGCACGCTGGGGAGGAGGTTTCCTGATCTGCTGTGCAAGGGTTATGGTAATGTGGGACCCCTTCTATTTCTTACAAGGCACTACCAAAAAAGCGACTGTACACAGTCATACATCTTTTTTCTGTGCAAGAGTGAAAAATATTACTTAGGACAAGACATGAGAACTCTACCCACAAAAGCTATAGGCAAACCCCAGACCTTTGCAGATAGCCCACGGAGAAGGGCTACCTCTACCACTCAAAAGTGCTTACCAGGTTTTTAAAATCTCTTTGGAAGTAAGGCGCGTGTATTATTTGATCAGGGAATATCCAGGCATCTGGCAAATTAGGCAGTTGCATATAAGCTGTAAAAGAAAGCAAATTATAAATTTGGCCATTTTTCTGAATTGCTGCCATAACTTCTCGTGTTTGTTAACACTTACCATTGCTGGGCTCGATTTACTTTCCAAAGAACAAGATTATTTAGGGATAAATGTATATGTTGTGCTATGCATTTTTTTAATGTTCTCAACTTACATAGTATTTTCAAAGCATTACTGCTAAAATAGCACTGGATAAAGATTATCATAGGATATTTTAAAGGAGGTTGAAGTTACAGTTTGGAAAAGTCATTTCACAGAGTTTCATTTTCACAGGTTGTTTTTCATGGACTTTTCATAAAGTGCAGTTTTATGTAAATAACCTTTTTACCCTAATCTAAACTTATACACACAGTTTCATTTTAAAAACATTAGTTTTTAAACATAAGAACTTCTTACCAGAAAATTCAGTGTTTGTGGAAGGGAGGAACTAATTGCTTTGGCTTGAGTCACGTGTCATGTGAACAGGCGTCCTGTGTTCGCCATCGCCCCTGTCTGCCAAGCCTGTTAGTGTGCTTCAGCTTCGGTCTGCAGCGCTCCATTTTCTTGGTCCTTATTCAGTTCACGTGCCTCTGTCCCGACTTTCTGTTCCCTCCAGACCTCCGCTCTCTTGAAGCATAGGTCATATTTTCATGAACCTAATCCTGTCAAGTGCTGAGCAGCTTCTGCAAACTAAGGATACTGATCGTCTGTTGTATTTTAATGGGCCAGATCTCATTTTGGTTGTAATTAATGGCAAAATTCCTACTCTATGAAGATGAAAATCAGCGCCAAGACTTTGTGGGGATTTTTTTTCCCCAGTCGTGTTAAATTGGTCTCACGATGGTTTCTTGTTCCTTCTTTTTGTCTTTACCTTTTTTAAGTATGTCTGTGAGACAAACTTAATGTGTTTACAAATTCAGAACAGTCTCCTCCACACAATGGCATATTTATTTTTTCTAGATATAATTGTGAAAGTGCAGTCAATGTGTCTGTGTAGTTATCTTACTAGTAGTGCTGCAGCTTGGTAGCATTACACTGAAAAAAAATCTCTTGTAATTAGGTCATTGTGTCTCAGGAAAACATTCCTGTGGAAGGAACCCCAGAAAATTTCACTCTTTCTTTTCCCGTTCTCTGTGTCTTTGCTCACTCTCCTCTGATCTCTGCCTACTCCCCTCTCCTCCTGACGCTGAAAGCTCTCTCCTCTTATACAACCACATGAAAAGCCCTCTCAGCACTTGGGAACAGGTCCAAAGGTTATGGTTCAAGTGGTTTGCCCTCATATAAGTGACGTCATTTGGATAGCTGGTGGGGGACTGCTCTCCCTCTTCGCAGTGAGCTGGAGCCAAGGGCTGGGCCAGCTCCACCAGCCTCCGGGCCAGGGCTGCACTTCTCTTCTTGAACAGCTCATGGAGCCAGGTCGTGGGATACAGCGCTGCAGAAAGGAGAGGTGATTTGATGGAAATATCTGAGAAGCAACTGGAGAGAGAGACTGAAGAGATTTGGGGGGACTGCTGTATACCTGCAGTGAATTTCAGGGCACTGAGACAAGTGCTGAGCAGAAAAAAATCTTGTGAAAAGCTGCAGTCTGGAGGTAGGGAGTAGACTGTTGGGAGCCTGAGCCAATTTTCTGGTGCTAGCAGTGCAAAAGCTTGTCAGGTGCACGCAGATGAAATAATGTGGGTTGTTTGGCTGTAGGGGGAGACTAAAACATGGAAATATATAGGCAAGTGAGACAAGCCAAGGAAGACATAGGCAAACTAAGTCTAAGAAGGCAGAGGGAGGTCCCAATTTATTACAAGAAAAAAAAAAATGGCTGATTTAAAACATTTTAGAGCTGCTGACCTGAATATCCTTAGTCTTTGTAGGTATGTCCACATGTGTATTAAGACTCTGTGGCCAGATTTACAATTTCTGGATTCTGGAGTCTTGAACAATCACAAGGATGTGTCAATATTGCAAGGCAGGTATGAAAGACATGTCTGTTCAATGAAGTTTAGAAGCCACTTAAATATGTAAATATTTGTCCTTTTTTCAAATGTTGCTGAATTCATATAGAATGTTAAGTAGCTTAATAACTTTTGTAAAAGTTCTCTGGCAAACTTATCTCTCATTAATTAATTCATTAGATGAATATTTGAATAATTATTATTAGTTGAATTTGTGAATTCATTTGGAATTAGAACTAAATATTTATATCTCTGTTACTCAGCATAAGTTCATTGTTATCCGCAAGTCTTGACACAAGACTTTATATCATTGAGCGACTTCTCTGCACATCTGTTCTTTGCATGTTAAAGCTTTTGAAGTATTTTCTTTAAAAAGCAAAAGTGAGTTGCTGTTCATGGACAGTCAAGTGGTGGCTTGATTGTGAACCTAGTACATTTTTAATTACTAGTCTGAGTGCCAGAAATAAAATTTAAAACATTGGTTGTCTTTGAAGCACAAATAAGCCACCTCTTGGTCATTTTATTTACTTTTAAAAGCAAAGAAGAAGCTGAACAATTTGTAAAGTAACTTTGAATAATTCTGTAAATATTCCGCAAATAATCTTGTTATCTTGTGGGTAAGTAGCAGCATCCGTCTTTCTTATGAGCATCTCTAAGTAATTTTACTTAGGATAGCAAGTGAAATGTTTGTTCAGGGCACCTTTTACCTCTCTGCATCAATGATCAGCAAAGATGCCTGTTAAACATCTTAGGGTTTTTTTATATCTTTAAAGCACTTCATTCCCAGAAGAACTCAGAATTGTTACAGTGCTGTTGGATGCAGGCTTTAAGTACTGTATGCTAAGATTAAGTTGTATTTATATTTATTCCATAAGTCACTGAAAATCAGCTCTCGTAGACACTTAGATACCTGGGAACTAGCCTACTAGACATTTTTCAGTATACTCTTTGGCTTTATCTGCATTTTAGGAAGCTGAAACTACTAATAGCTTTCCTAGAGCCGCTTTTCAAAGGAACCTTAACTTTCTAGATTGGTGGGTTTCAATCTTTTCAATTCACCAGTTCAGAAACACTTACTGATAAAAGTGCAAACCCCATGCAATGAATCTGCCAATAACCTACTTGCTTTTCTTATTTTTTTGGATCCTTTGTAAGTAATCCTTACACTGCAGCAGTCTTTTGTTTACACTGTGAAAATTACTATCGTATAACATTTAGGCACCTTTGAGTATATTACTCATGACTAATTAATGTAAAAGAAATTGTGAAATCCAGTTTGTGTATCAGTATCCTATGAACTGATGAGATCAGAACTATTTCAGTATCTTTTCTCTTCATGCGCTTAACTTCATAGGCTCCAATATTGATGGAGCTATAGATATCCTTTAAATCTACGATTTTAGGGGGAGTTTCCTTCCAGTACTCTGAGATTCATTCTGTATGAGTGTGCAAAACAAGGACAGCAGCACAGTTCATGAGTGGAACTGAATTTGAAGATCTTTCTCTTTTTCACGCACATGAAATGAGAAGCCACATATTCAGCCAGTCAAGTGTGAGAGGCACATTTGACTGGACTAGAAGTAGGGAAAATTGTATTTTTCTCCTGAGTTCTTTTCTTAAGCATAGCATTCACTTCAGTCAAATCACTTTTTACCTTTTTATACCTCTCTCACCCTTTTTCTTGTCTGTTTTGACTAGAGACTTCTAAGCAACTGGCTGTCTGCTGTTGTTTTCTGTAGTACCTACCACAACAGGCCCTTTTCTTCTTTTGGGGATTTAAGAAACCTCTGTAATACAAAGCGTAGGATAAAGTTCAAATATAAATACAGTATATATTAAAGCTTACTTCTTTCCTAATCCCAGCATTACCAATTCAAGGAAATCGAACATCAGGGATGTAAATCTTTCTCCAACATTCAGCTGAATCATACTGATTTCCTCACTCACATTCTTTAAACTTTTATCCAATTACTGTGCCAACTGTCTCATCTAGCGGTTTTAAATCTTTTATTCCCAGATTAATTAGTTTTTAATTTGCCTTTGTTAAACAACACATGCCCTCTCATGGCCCAGTTACTTAAGAAATTGAAATTGAAATCTGATTGAATCTCATTGCATTATTTGGTATTTCCAATTTTAATACTATCTACAGATTTGGGATTCTTACTTTCAGTACCCTCATTTATGCAGAATACTATGAACAGCAACAAGCCAAATCCTGATGACTCTATGGTATTCCAGTGCATTATCCATCTCTAGGCTGTAGGTTGATGTGAACATTGTCTTTCCCTTTGGTCCACAACAAAGGAGTATGTAACAAGGAAGCTCATGAGTCCAGCATTTTAAATGTAGTCAGTGACAGAAAAAACATATCAGAGTTTATGGAGCAAATTCTACTGTCAGGAGAGTGATAGTTACATAACTAATAAAATCATTTGAGAGAAGCAAGAGGCTGACATTGAGAAGATTTCCTTTAAATACAGAAACACTACTGTTCAAAGTAGCTAACAGATATGAAGAATATTTGATTACATCACTGTAATGGCAGTGGTACAGCTATTAATTACATCCATTTAACATGCAAGTAAAAAGTAAATCCTTCTCTCCCTGAAATACTGTAGTAAACAGAGTAAAACCTGAAGACTTGAAACGTGGAACAGAATGGTTTCATCAGTATAACAGCATATAGAGAGGCTGAAGTCTTGGTACGTGTATCTACATACTGATTTATGTACTTATGTCTCTTTTCCCACTTTTATTTCTCAGGCAACTTGGCTGGGTTGATTTCATCCCACAAAAATTATTCCAGCGGCAAAGCTATGCTTAAACCCCAGCTTCCTGATACCTATATTGTGTAGGTTACTTGGCACTGTCAGGTAACGTGGTAAACTAAATACTACTGGTTTCTGCCCATTGAGTCTCTGCCCTGTAGCAGCACTTCTTGGACTGACTTAAGATGAGAACATTGTCTATACAACCTGCACCACCATCCCATCTATACCTGTCTTCATCAAATTTCTGTCTACAAGTAGCAAGAAGTGCTTCCCTCAGCCCACTGCTCCCCAGCTAGTCTCAGGAGGAAAACTGGGACTGTTTTTTTCTATATGGTTTCTATATTAGGAAAGGCTGAGAGCTGTTGCACCAGAGTTGTAAGACCAGTGCCCAGAACTAGTTTAAGGTAAAGCAGTAGAAGCAAACAAGCAAAAAGGGCTATCCCTTTCTGGAGACATTAAAGAGGCCAGGAAAGGAAAAGTGTGCATGTGATGGGGGCAGGTAAGGGTGGGTTTTTTCATAAATGGTGAAAATTTTGTAGGTTTACTGAATCTAGACAGTGAATTTTGGCACAGTCTGATTGGTGCTGCCAGACTGCTGGCTGTTGTTATGGATAGAAAAGAAAGAAATCTGCTGAGGAATGAGAAAGATTGAGGAAAATTGCATTAAGGGCAGAGACAAGCATTTCAGAAAAATGAGGAGAAGTCATGATGCCAGGCAATGATCACGATGGCTGGAGGGGCAGCAGCCCCACCAGCACACTGACAGAAAGCACCCCATGTCACCATAGCCGTGATCAGTGTCAGGCTGGTTCTTCAACACTTGCAGTCTAAAAAGCCATCTGCAGACCAAGCTGTCACCTGTGTAGAAGTATTCAAGGACATAATTGTGGACAGAAGATATAAGGAATGAAGTCTGTGTTACATTTTGCATCAGCATAAAGCAAAGAGGTACACTATCCTCTATACTGCTGGACACGGCTATATTATATAGTGAATGGCGTGTCCATTTCATGCTGCAGAATGGAGTGAATTTAAGTGACCTGATCTGTCTTTTGGACCCATTGATGAGTTCTGTAAAAGGGAGAGGAAAAATAATACAAAACACTGTTGGAGACATGAAGGAAATAACCAGAAAAACGGGATATAAAATTATAAGCTAAATAGATGGTTGTGAGTTGATAGGACTATGATACGTCAATGCTGAAAGTTTTGCTTAACTTTTCTTCTTTTTACTCAACTTCACAGAAACAAAACTCTCACCGTGTTCAAAGAACAGCCATTACCACAGGCTATTACTTTGACTTTAGGACCATACAGACAAAGGATCCATATTCAAATCTCAGGTGCTTCTTCCCCTGATGCTTAAACTACCCAGTCTCCAGCACTGTGTCTATCCAGATGATAACTAGTCATTGTAAGACTGGTCAGAATTTATAGTGGTCTTGAGCTAGTGCTGGTTGGTACAAAAGCTCATTGTAGGAATTAGATCCCTGAAATCTTATTTTAACATTGCTGATTTCTGTTATGATAAATAATTAAACAGTAATGATCAATCTGGTAATGTTCCTCCCTTTTTTACAGTGAAATTCGAAATCTTAGAAACTTGGATTACATAGATCCAGATGCCTTTAAGAACCTCCCACTTCTGAAATACCTGTAAGTATTTAGCACCTGCAACAAGTAGGCACTTAAGCCTTACAGATGACTTTTTACACAGTTTTGTTTCTTTGCATTTGATTTTGGAACTGATTGCAATGTTTTTCACTGTTGCTTTATTTTAATGACAGAAAGCCAGCTAGGGTAGGGGTTGGAACTTTGACTACTTTCGTGAGAAAGCAACACATGTTCACAAATTCATTAGTAATTTTGCCATTTTTCTTATCCATTAAATGTCTGGAATACACTAATATTTCCTTGGCATCATTCCACAGCTAGTCTTCTTATGTAAGTGCTGTCTTACTATATTTTTGTAGGAAATAGTAGGAAGAAGGGACAAACAGAAATATACACAACTTCTATAGTTACTAGAAATTTACACAGGTTTTTAAAGCACACCCCTCAGCTAAGTGTGGCAAGCCCATCCATAGACACCTGATCTCATATGACCTCTATGGCAGAGAGAAATCCTGAAGAATTCTCTATATTCCCATAAGGTTTCTGAAGAGCAGCACAGAGTAACCAAACCATAAAATTCTAAAATTACAGCATAGGAAAGAGAGATGAGAAAGAGAGTAACTTCTGTGATTTTGAGAAATGTTTGGAAGACTCTAGAAAGGGCGGTCTGTGTGTGTGTGGTGCGGGTAGCATTGAGGAGGAAAGATTTTTCCTGATTTTTCCTATAGATCAGAAAGCAATGAAAAGAAAGTAGTCACAACAATTTCATTTCAGGGAATAATTTTTAAAATTGAGAACTATATTTTCTTAGTTATTTCCACTCTACAGGAGTTCAGAAATAAAGGGCATTAACTGTATTCACATTTGGAGAGTTTCCCTTTCTAGAGCTATTTGAACAGCTCTTAGTCTCAATGAAAGATAGAGGATTTGAGAGTCCAGAGTATTGTCTGAAGCAGCCTTAATCTCTCAAGTGAATCCACAGTTATAACTTTTTTTTCTCCCTATCCACCTCACAGGCTACTTTGCTCTGCAGATATGCTTAGCTGTCTTATTTTGTGTTGCCATTTTTTAGATTGTATAATTTATTGTAAATCTCGTATTTTTATTTTTTTAATTGTTCTTGCATCCTTATATTTTGGACAGTTGATTATATATTAATTGATTGACAATAGAGAGGGTGAAATAACTGCCCTGCACTGCTCAATGCTCTAAATGCATTGTTTTTTGTTGTTCAGTGATCCAGTATGTGCAGTTCTTTTTGTTTCTTCTTTCTTTCAGAGGTATTTTTAATACTGGACTCAAGGCATTTCCAGACCTCACCAAAATCTACTCATCTGATGTGAACTTTTTACTGTAAGTATCTGTCCTCACAGCTGGTTAGAATACTGCCATCCTCAGATCCCAAGAAAAACCTATAGTGAAAGTTTCTGCTTTGGAGAAAAATATTTAAGAAGTCTGACAAAGCACTATTCCTCAAGCTAGATTTCAAAGATCATTAGTACCAAATCTGGAAAATGCCAGGTCACCTAGCACTATACATTTAACCTGGATGAGAGACATGGACACACAACAATTCCTCTTGAATTAGCCTAAGCACATGATACACAACATCTACAGGCCATTTTCTTTTATTTTGTTTCTGTTTTTGTAATGGCTGTGCAATACCCGAATTAGCTTGAAGTCAGAATAGTGTGGCACACAGGACCTGATCTGACATACAGCCCGCTAACACTAAGTTATCTTGTCAACATTCTTCTAACAAATTTGTGCTGGTGTGGTGAGCTCATATTGCACATTTTCTGATACTACTCTTCACTGATCTTCTGTATTGCTGAATCATAACTTCCGTTGGCTATCCGTCTTCTTTCTTCTGACCCCACTTGGAGCACAGAATACTCAAGAGCAGAACTGGACAGTGTTTACCATTACACCCTTAAAAAGCTCAGTGTTGGCTGAGCTCATGTTTTTAGGAAGATTTCAGTGAAGATTTATTTTATGCAACATATGTTTCTGTAATTGTTCATACAGTTAATGTTTTAATAAAGAAAACAGAAAAGTAGTTTAAAAAGCAAATCAAAAAAGCTGAGAAATAAAGTAGAGCTTTTAAGTCGCTACACCAGGAGCAGCTTCGTTTCACAACAGCTTTAGTATTGAGGTCAGGCTGGCACAGCATGTCTTCAAGACAGACAATTACTCATCTCCCTTCTGTTACTCACCCCTTTTTTCATAATGGTTGAATAAGATGTGTGCTCCTTTAGGTCGACAGCATGAGCTTCTATGAACACACACTTTGCCTAAATACCCTTGCCCAACCTTACTTGTAGAGTCATATTTCTAGTACAAGTCTATAGTCCCACCAAAGGACCAAAATGCCAGGACTGACAATTGCCTGCTCTTAAGCTGGACTTCCTAGGTGGAGTCATCTCTCATTAACTAAAGTCCTCAGCTGTAAAGAATTAGCTTTGCTAATTTAGTTGGGTTTGTTCAGGAGGCACTCCTACATAACACTACCTTCTTCCTTTCTCACACCTTAAAACCCATTTACTTTAACTGATTTAAAGACAACCCCTCCCCTCCCCCTGTTTTTTTTTATTATGGCTTGAAGCAAATTGCATAACAATTTCTTTGAGAAAGACAATGGGAACACACGTGGGGGAAGAGGGGTCTCCCACTATTGTCCTTAAAGGTATTTCAGAAACAAAGAGTTCTGCTGTAAAAAAAAAGCAAATGTTTGTTGGTATTCATAAAGCAAAGATGACATCCATCTTTGTGCCCTAACCTGCAGTTTAAGTTTGAACTCTGGGTTGTAATCAAGCCAAGGGGGAAGAGCAGCTCAGATGAAGACTTGCAGGCCAACACAAGGTAAAAGTTTCTTGGTCACTACTTAGTCCGAGAGAGGAGTTGGCAATATTATGTTGTAGAATTGTTCAGTTGGAAAAGGATTGACTGCTGGATGGGCTAGGTAAAAGGCTATTAAAAATAAGAAGTATTATGCTAGAAGGTGACTTGCAAAGATATGATTGGTGGTCTACCCCAGGCATTGTTCCAGTGCTGCTAAGGGGGATTCTTAGTCAAGAGTGGTGAGTCCCCACTGTATTCATGGTCTGCCATTGGCAAGATGAACCTCAGAGCAATGCAGAAATGCTGGTTGCTTTGTTAAAGTCTAGACCTGTACTGAATAATGAGATCTTCCCTCACAAGGATCTTTGGAGACTAGAGGTAAGCCTTGTGCTAGCTCACACCCCATAACCTGAAGCTACCAAGTTTGCCTTGGCTGTAGGCTTCTGAGATTGAAACCTGAGTCAGCCAGAGCTCTGAGTGGAATACACCTACATCTTAAGAGCTATTAGGGAGTTCCTCAAAGACCACAAGGGCTTTAGCTTAGATTAAGCTGTACTAGATTATAAATTAAACACTATGCTTACTAAATTAAGAGAACAAAGAATTAAATAGGCTTGAAACAGAAGCAGTTTATACAACCATCTGTGTCCTTGTTTCCGACAAACTCAGTGACTTTCTAAGTGGCAGATAGCAAAACATTATTTCTACCTTGAAAATTTTTCGTAAAGATGACTAATAAAAAATAAACATGGGTCTTTTATGCTAAAGACTTTTTAAAGAGTAGAGCTGCACTTTCAAGCAAGGTATTTCTAAACACTGCTATTCAATGAAAGATAGCCTTTTTGATTCTTTTATCAAGGGAAAAAATCAGCTCCTGAAGAATAATAGGTTTCTAAATGATGAATAAGGCATAGCTGGGAGAAAAGCATTCATTATATCACTAATTGTGGGATTCCTGGAGGAATCCCACCGGAACAACTAATGACATTTGAGGTCAAGCAATTTACAAGTAAACATTTGTCAGAAAAGTGAATGAATCTGAAAAATGTCAGACCAAAATAACTTGTGTCAGAAACCACCTATTGGTGATAACTACTTGGAATGAAAATGCTTGTAGTACTGTTCAGTCTTAGCACATACACACGCACGTATATAGCACAGAAAAGGAATTAAATTGTTCCTGTCACATGGGCAATGGTTAGGACTTCTCAGCCCATGGACATTATGGTCTAGCCTTACTAGACCACATCAAATCCACAAGCTGAAGGAAAGATAAATTTGCAGACCGTTTTGGTTTCTAGACTCTACTATTATTAGGAAAATGCAGAAAAAGGACAATCAGACACTTTGCTCTGCCCTGTGTTTCTACAGTTTTTTCCTCTCTCCCTTCTCCAGTTTAGTCACAGTAAATCTCTTGTTTTTCTTTGTCCCTTTTGTCACAACAGAGTTTTGATCTGAAGAGACATAGCATTTATTAAGACTGCAGAGTGGGAATAAGAAAGTATTGAAAAAAAGACAGCAAGTGAAACACTCATTTGAACAAGAGTTGAGAAGAATCATTAGGTTAGATCACATAATAAGTTATTTCATTTGGGCTAGGTGCAGTTCTGTAAAGTGAAAAGCCTCTGTCCTGAATAATGTATCATCTGATGTCTTATCTGAGTTTAGCTAGAGAGCAGGATCTCAGCTCTGAAGTCACTTGGGCTGGCTCAGTTGACACTGCAGCATCATTTACTTTGCTAATTCTCTGACTTATGAGACAAGGGACCTGTCTGTGCTGGTAACCACTACAATCACGCAGCCTGGCACACCTCACCAGGACTGTAAAACCCATCTACTTCACAAGCTCGCTTCCTGGATGCTGGAACATGATTGATTCTTCATCATCCCACATGTAACTTCTGGCCTTAGATATAATTAAACAAGTTATTCTACACTTTTATTTATTATCAAGACAGAGAACAATTAATAATAAAACTGCTCTGGAGAAGCTCTGTTGGGTAGATGTTTGATTGTGATGTTTTGTCTCCTTTTTCAGTGAAATTGCAGATAATCCTTTCATCACTTCAGTGCCTGCAAATGCTTTCCATGGGCTTTGTAATGAATCTCTAACTCTGTAAGTTCTTCCAGTCTAAGTCACAAGGCAATTACCTCTCTCAAGCATATGGTAAAATATAAAGGAAAAAAAAAAAATCTCTGAACACCATAGACAGGTAGCACCCGTAATCGAATTTGTACAGATCCTTTACTTTGACAGTGATTTGAATCAGGCCTGCTGCTTTTCTTTAAACTGGCTTGACAAAAGTGGTTTTGCTTTTATATGACCCTAATGCCAGTGAATAGTTAGATTAGAGAATATCAAAGGGAAAGGTTTGCAGAGTTCTCCTTCTGTAAAGCTACAGCATGGTTAGAAATGTGTCTGAACTTTTTTGCAATCAGAGTGGCACATACCATGAAAACTAATGGGTGGCAAATGTCAGAAAAGTCATATTTTAAGGAAAATTGTTAAATAAAGTTCAGTTATGCAAGTCATACTCAATGTGAGCCACAAGAAAAGGCTGAGAGGAGTAAAACTTAATTAGTTATGACCTGAACTAGGGGGAAGAGCATTAGAATGCAAAAGAACGAATTCTAAACACACTTTAAAAAAAATCCTTTTGCTCTAAGGGAGCAAAAGAATGAATTCTAAAAATTCAGGCAGGCCTGACAGTAAAATCATACCTATTTTACTAGGTATTAGTTCCTTTAACCTTCCTTAATCAGTCCTACAGAAATTTGTTTCTTTGCTTTTAGTCTGAGAGTGGGGAAGTTACAGCAAATTGTTTTAATCTAGTTCTATCTTTGCTGTAAAAAGAAGTAAAAGATGGCATACCTGCCACATGGTATACTTGATTCAGCTACACTAAAGAATGCTGCTGGGCATTTGTTTGACGTTGCACTATAATTGCTACTTCTTCAAGAGATTAAAATTAACCCATCCATAAATGGGCTGTTGCCAAGAAAAATGATACAGATGTTAGGCACGTAGGTATTGAAGTAACTCAAGATACACTCATTTTTTATTTTTTTTTTCTTGCAGCAAACTCTACAACAATGGTTTTATGAGCGTCCAAGGCCATGCTTTTAATGGGACAAATCTGGATGCTATGTAAGTAGCAGATCATTCTCTTTCAGAAAAAAAATTATATAATAAATTCTCTATGCTTGTTGAGGGCTCTTTAATACATATCTTATTCTAATTACTTTTAAGGAGAAAAGGAGGGTATTAATTTCAGCCAGCGATAAAAATATCAGCACTTAATGTCTTTTGCAGTGTGCTTTCATTTGGTATGTATATTTATAGCTCAGAAATAAAATCATGGCAGGTAATTCCAATGTGAATTTTGTTCTGGTTTGAAGCTACAATAAAATTTCTTTTGATCAGTAACATTTCTAAGACATTTTGGAAGATAATAATGCTGTTTTACTTACAAGACAGTTTCTTGTAAGAAGTATAGCACTAATAATGGTAGCAGCCCTTTCCATGAAATCTTCTATCTGCAAACAAGCAAGTGGTGTGAGGTGTTGGAAACAATTCAGAGGAACCAGTCACACTGGAATTGAGAGACGGGTATCTCAGAAACATGAACTAACTATTTCTGCTTTCCCTTCACCTTCTTGTTGTAGTTTCTGGAAAACTAATACTTAGTGAGTGAATATCCTTTTTACACCATACCAAATATCATCTACCTCAATCATTAACACAGAAGAAATCTCAATTCCAGAGGCTCCATTCACTTTGGCAGAGCTTACTCTGATTCTACAGAGGCTTGACTGATGAGTCTGGCTGGCAATCTCATGAGTAGATTTGTTCATCGTGAGTTCTTAAATTAACCAGAGAAGCATGAGGATAGATATGATTTTTTTTTCAGTACTTCATTTTAAACTGGGCCTGAAGTCTATATGAATTCTATTAAGAGCATCCTTCACACGGTCTTCATCTTTCCAAACTGCTTTTTTTTTCTTAACAGTTAGCTAGACTTCTTAAATTTCGAAAGGTTTGAGTTAAATTAAAGATCTGGGATAAGTCTTATTTTACTCACATTAGTTCAGTTACTTTGAGCTTTCATATTAGAAAGGAAGTTTTTCATTATGACGTAGCGTTTGTACTAGTGCCCACAGAAATCATAAGATGTAAAATATGGCAAAATTAATCCCGTGTCGACTGAATCCCTCTAAGCTGTATATGCAATACTTAAAACCTTCCTAAGCCTTAGCCAACATATGAACTGTGTTGGCTGTTCCATTTTCATGAAACACAGGATGGAGGTGATTTTGTAGGAATTTTTCTTTTTGCTTCTCTGATAGTTTGCAAGTGCTATTGCTTCTGGCCTCTTTGGAATTTTCTTTATTATTAAAGAATCAAGTGAAAATGTAGCTTTAGAAGATTTGGAGTCCTAAACATCTGCTTTATTGGACTGGGTGGAAGTAGAGAAGCAGAGAACACATACTAGGTTGTGTAGATACTGCTTGCTTACTTTCAGAAAAGTATCAGAGGATTGAGTCCTCCCTCGGTAAGTTTGCAGATGACACCAAGTTGGGTGGAAGTGTCTATCTGCTTGAGGATAGGAAGGCTCTACAGAGGGATCTGGACAGAATGGATCGATCCAGTATGAGTTTCAACAAGGCCAAATGCCAGGTCCTGCACTTTGGTCACAACAAGCCCATGTAATGCTACAGGCTTGGGGAAGAGTGGCTGGAAAGCTGCCCAGCGGAAAAGGATCTTGGGTTGTTGCTTGACAGCCGGCTGAACATGAGCCAGCAGTGTGTCCAGGTGACCAAGAAGGCCAACGGCATCCTGGCTTGTGTCAGGAATAGTGTGGCCAGCAGGAGTAGGGAGGTGATAGTGCCACTGTACTCAGCACTGGTGAGGCCACCCCTTGAGTACTCTGTTCAGTTTTGGGCCCCTCACTTCAAGAAGGGGATTGAGGTGCTGGAGTATGTCCAGAGAAGGGCAATGAGGCTTGTGAGGGGTCTAGAGAACAAGTCTTATGAGGAGCGGCTGAGGGATCTGGGGCTGTTTAGTCTGGAGCAGAGGCGGCAGAGGGGGTCCTTATTGCTGTCCACAACTACCTGAAAGGAGGTTGTAGTGAGGCAGGTGTTGGTCTCTTTTCCCAACTAACTAGCAATAGGATGAGAGGCAATGGCCTCAAGCTGTGTCAGTGGAGGTTCAGATCGGAGATTAGGAAAAATTTCTTTACTGATAGAGTGGTCAGGCATTGGAATAGGCTGCCCAGGGAAGCGGTTGACTCCCCATCCCTGGAGGTGTTTAATAAATGTATAGATGTGGCACTTTGGCATATGGTTTAGTAGGCATGGTGGTGTTGGTTGGATGGTTGGACTTGATGTTCTTAGAGGTCTTTTCCAACCTATGATTCGATGAAATTGGGGGATGAGAGGCTGGAGAGCAGCCCCATGGAGAGAGATCTGGGGGTCTGAGTTGATGGCAAATTGAACAGGAGTCAAGAGTGTGCCCTGGCAGCCGTAAAGAGCCAGCAGTGTCCTGAGGCGCAACAAGCACAGCTTAGCCAGCCGGTCAAGGGAGATGATTGTCCCACCCTGCACTGCACTGGTGCGGCCTCACCTTGAGTACTGCGTGCAGTTTTGGGCATCTCAATATTAGAAGGACATCAAACTGTTAGAGTGTGTCCAGAGAAGGGCAACTGAGATGGTGAAAGGTCTCAAGGGCAAGGCTTACGAGGAGCAGCTGATATCACTTGGTTTGTTCAGCTTGGAGGGGAGAAGGCTGAGGGGTGACCTCATGGCAGTCTGCAGCTTCCTCAAGGGGGGCAGCAAAGGAGGAGGTACTGATCTCCTCTCTCTGGTGACCAGTAATAGGACACAAGGAAATGTAATGAAGCTGCATCAGGGGAAGTTCAGACTGAACGTTAGGAGAAGGGGGGGGTCCCTTCCAACCCCTAGCATTCTGTGATTCTGTGATTCTTCACTGAGAGGGTGGTTGGTCACAGGAACAGGCTCCCCAGGGAAGCGGTCACAGCACCAAGCCTGTCAGAGTTCAAGGACCATGTGGACAATGCTTTTAGCCGTATGGTTTCATTTTAGGTAGTCCTGCAAGGAGCAGGGAGTTGGACTCGATCCTTATGCATCCCTTCCAACTTGAGATATTCTATGATTCAAAGTCAGTCTTTCCAGAGACTGGCTATGATGCACTATTTAAGCAAATTTTAAAAAACCCAAAAGAACTAAAACCAGGCTTACTTTCAGGGCTTTATCTAGCAGCAGTAAAAATAGTTTATTACAACAAACAGTTTTCTCCTAATTAAATCATATGACATTTACTTGGAGCAAAGCACTACTCCAGATTTACAAGGTAAACTAAGGAGCTGAACATCACCGGTAAAGCCTTTATCTGTTTGATAAGCTACATTGAAATTTCTAAACTAATTTTCTGAAGTAGTTTGGTTACCATATGCCAAGATAACGTATAATTTTGCTAAGTGCAAGCTTGGAGATTTGTTGATTCTAGCTGCAGGATTAAATTAATCCAAAAGGCAAATACTTCATTTTCTGTATTCTGACAGTTCTGATTTGAACTCCTGTTTATCTACCACTGTACAGTGAAGAAAGTACCTGTTTTCCTCCGTGGCTGGTCCAAGGTCTTGTGGACTTGATGAAACTAGGAGCAAAAAGAAACTAAGAGAAAAAGAGTGAGGGAAAGAAATTTTAACGGGTTTTTGAATGATGACCTCAAGGAGGAAAACAAGTAGAAATGGAAAACTATCAAAAACAATAATTCATTTTTGACAAATCATTCAAAGACTCCATGTTCCGTCCATAAATCAGAAGACATTTTGGGAATCTCAGAGACTACCTTCTACCATGCAGTGTGCCTTTCTACCACTCTTGCAGTATTAAAAGACTTAAATAATTCAACGAGGTCAAAACAATCAATGCAGATATAGGTGTGGAACTGTGCATAAATGGTTTCCATTATCACACTGAATAATGTCACTACCTAATAAATCTTCTCATCCAACAAGGGTCTGTGTTTTATAGCAAACCACAGTATCTCTCTAGAAGTTTTATAAAAGCAGGGAAGTAAAGAACCAGGAATGAAGGGCTGAACGACACTTTTACTGAACAGCATTCATCTGAAACTTGAATCCCTCATTCTAACACATCATTAAGGTCCATGAACTACATCACTCCTGCAGACTTCGGCAAAGTGGTGCTTCTGCACCAATGTTTATTTCTGTAAGGAAATTGGTGAGGAAAGAAGATTTTTTAAAACGTATTTCCAGTGAATGGCAAAATATATTTGAGATAAGCTTTTACAGAGCTGTCTAAATGACTGAAATGGAAAATGTGCAATCTCAAAATCTAATTACAAAAATAAACTCCAAAAGAATATATTTACTTTGGTATACACTCTCAGGGATCACTTATAATACTTGGCTTAGCGCAGAGTCAGATAAACAATGGCGTAGAAAACACATATGATGAATCCTTAATATTGCTTGTTGACCAATGCATCTCTTTTGCCTGTTCTCCTCCTCTTTAACCTTCATTTCATAATCCAACAGGATTCATAGATACATTAACATGTTACATGTCCAGAGCCCATTCGCTGCTATTGTGGTGACACTTAAATGTGTGGCCAGCATAAAATTTTTCTCCTTATTTGTTAAGCTCTGCTGCCTTATTTTAAAATCAGAAGCTGAAAGCAAGCAAGCAGACACTATCAAATAATACACAATTCCATAAGCCAGTGAGGTATTTCAACTAGGAACTTTGGTAACTTTACTTGGTTTTTAACTAAGTGATCCTTTGGAGGAAAACTTTGCAAAAACTCCCTTTTTCCCTAATCTGGCTGTTCATTCTCCATCACTCCCTGTGCTGATAAAATTGGTTCTGGGACTGCAGTAAAAATTTACCAGTGAAATAATCCATCTTAAAAAACATACTGAGAAAGGTGTGTCCAGCTACAATATGGGTGATGGCATGAACGACCTTGGACTATGGAAGAAGCGAAACAGACATATTTTACACTGAAAAAAGAAAGGTATGTGGAACTATATATTAGTTGAAGTAGCTGGTCAGCATTTTTCATTCATATCCTTTGTACTCAGAAGAAAATACACTTTTGGT